CTTTACTGTTATGAATCTTACAAATATTTTCTTCCAGTTTTTTCATTTTTAAAATTTTGTTCATGGTGAGGTTCATGACCATGCCAAAGAAAACATGTTTTTAAAAAAATTTACGTAATCAAGTTTATCACTTTCTTCTATTGCCTCTAGTGTTTAAACCTTTCCCCTGTGCCATGATTAAAGAAGATTTCTCTTGTTTTTTCTTTGGTATTTGTATGATTTAGTATTTGACATTTAGGTTTGTAATTATTTTGAGCTTATTCTTAGGAATGGCTTATTCTTAGGTATGGGTTTAATTTTATCTTTTTCCAAATATGCCATTTGTCCCAGCACCATTTTTTTTTTTTTTTATTCAGGGTCTCACTACATAGTTCAGGCGGGCCTTGAACTCAGTATATAGCCCAGGCTGGACTTGAACTCACAGTGATCCTCCTGCCTCAACCTCATGAGTACTAGGATTACATGCATGTGCCACCAGGCCTGGCTCCAGGACCATTTATTGAAATGTATTAAAACACCCACTTTTGTCCCATTGAGTGGAGTTGCCATATGTTCATATAAAAATTTCCCTAAGGATGTTTGGGCTTTTTATTCTATCCCATTAGTCTGCTTGTCTAGTTATGGGCCAGTAGTAGCCTGCTTTAATTATGAATAATAGCGATATTTATTATCATAATAATAACTACTACTGAACTCTTAGCAGCAGAGGAAGGAATACCTGGCTGGGAGGTGTGCATTCTAGCCTCAAGTGATAATTAGACACAAGATCTCGAACTACTTTGAGCCTCAGTTTCCTCAAGTACACAATAAATAACTGGGACTACATGAAGCCTAAGACCTCTTCCAATTTTGAAATCTTGTCCAAGTCTTATTTTGGAATATGGGCTGAGATGCATTTTCTGAAATGTAAATTTTTACTTTCGAATACTTTACCTACAATGCACCTCTTTTCAAGCAAAGAAAAATGGATCGCATTTTGAAGAAAATTTGAAGGCTTTGAAGATGGGACCTATTTACGGAAACCAATTTGTTTCTGTGCATTATTTTAGCATGCAACTCTTCCCTGCTCCTGAAGCAGCGGCCTGAGTATCCGTGGCTCGGTGAAGTGGGGGTGGAGAAAGCTTATTACCATGGAGATAGATGGGAGCAAATGGTCACATCATCAAAAGCAAACTAGAAATGTACAAAGCTTTTGTGATGCTGATCCTTTTTCTTTCTTTCTTTTTTTTAAGTAAGAAGAAGAAGGAAAAAAGGCACAAATAAAAGGACAGATCTCTCTCATTAAATCCAACACTAATTTAGTAATCAGTGAAATAAAGGTACCCTTGAAAGCCCGCTGCCAGAAAATACAGGACAACAAAGAAGCACAAAAGGTTGCTGGCTGCCAGGTGTAATTTCCAGGTACTCCAAGTGCATTTGGACTCCCTGTTCTCTGAGCTTTTCTTTACAGATCAGCTGTCTTCGTGGTAGATCTGAACTGTCCATTTAGTCTCCCAGTGTGTTATCTAAATATTTAGAAGGAGAGAAATTGCGGAAAAATAACCTTTAATTTTATGAATCCGCAAGGAAGACTTCAGTATTAGAAGATATGAGAAACTGAGAATAAAGGTAAATCTATTTTTTTCTGTTTATTACCTATCACTTTGGGTAATCTGAAAATAATTTGACAATGCAATAAAAGTCAAAGGGTAAGAGTCTAAATTTGTACCCAGTAGCTTATGTCAAAATAAAGTCACCATCAATTGGGCTGCATCTCTCTATCTACTGATCATCTACCTGTATCTAGACATTCTGTTACACCCATCCATTGCTTAACTTTAGGCTTGTAGAAACTGCCAAAAACCTGCAGTAAGGAAACACGTTCTGTTCTCTTTTGTTTCTTTCTTTCTTTTTTCTTCCAAAACAGGATTGAATCCAATGCCTATGCACTGAGCTACATTTCCAACCTTTTTTATTTTTTATTTTGAGTCATTAAAGTGCTCAGGCTGGGCTCCAAGTTTTGATCCTCCTGCCTCAGCCTCCTGAAGTGCTGGAATTACTGCTGTGTGCCACCACACCCAGTTTTGTATTCAATTCTTCATAATTATCCAAGGGAAAAGAAATTATTTAAGAATGATTACATCAAATTTATTTAAAGAATGTGACCAATCTGCCTTGAACTTTCACTCTATTGATTAAAAATAATTGTATGCTGCTGTGATGTTTTAAAATTAGAAAGTGTTATTTTAAAAATATTATGTGCTATTTGGAGAGCAAGTACAATTTATAGCATATTTTAAAATGTAAATTATGAGGGAAATAGACTCTTAAGAAACTTCCTGAGTCACTGGAGGTAACCAGCTATTTTTTGCAACCCTTGGACTGTAACTACTTGTTGGATCTTTTTGTTGTTGTTGTTTTGCTTTTTGTTTTTTTTTTTCCAGTACCAGGAATTGAACTCATGACCTTGCCCTTGCCAGGCAGGCACTGTACCACTGACCTAAATCCCCAGCCTCAATGATGTTAGATCTTTCTTGCATATCTTTGTTTTCCTGAGAAACCACTCTGAAGATGCCAACATGTATTGCAGCAGTCACTGATGATTTCCTACCAATCTGTCCATAACTCTGTAATGTTTATATTGTTCCTGTGCTATTTTGTAAATGGATGTATGTTTGTTACTATGTGTTGCAACAACCACCACTGAGAATAGTCAATGATTATTTGACTGATCACTCATGTATAGCTATATTTGTTTTCCCTAGAGACCACGTTGGAGAAACCAGGGTATAGTACAACAACCATTGATAATTTCCTGCCATTTCTGTCTGTAACTCACTATTATTTTTCTATTTGTTTTCCTGAGAAACTATCTTGAAGATACCAATAGGTAAAATAACAACCATTGATAATGTCCTACCACTTTGTCTGTAATTTAGTGTATCCCCCTACCGCTTTGTTGTCCTTCTTTTACTCTTTAAAATAAAAAAAAGAAACCTCCCTCTTCCTCTTTCTCCCCCTTCTTCTTTCTTTTTTACTTCAGATTTTCCCTCTTTACCTATAGCATTAAAAGGGAAGACTATTCACAATTATAAAGACATTAATTTCCTCAATTGATCAATAAATTCAATGTCAAGCCAAATAAAATATCAAGGTTTTTTTTGAAGTTCATGGAAATAATACTAAAGTCCATCAGGAAATATAAATGATGAATCTGAAAAATTCTGAAAAACAGGAATATTGAGAGGGTAATTAATATAATCATATGTTATAAATGTGCGATAATAAAAATATTTTATCCCAGAGAAGAACTGGCGAGATGAATAGAATAATAAGAAATAAACTCAAATACATGTACAAATTTAATGGGTGAAGAGGTAGATGAATCAAATTTATGCAGAAGTCAGGGAGGAAAGATGATATATTAGTCAACAAATAGTTAGGGGTAAACTGGTTAGGAATAAAAAACTTTTTAAAAATGGATCCTTTATCATACTCTTTATGTCCCAAAAATTTTGAGAAGGTTCAAAGATTAAAAAATTTTTTTTGAGGCAAAGTCTTACTATGCAATTCACTCAGGCCTTGAACTCACTTTGTAATCCAGGGCTGGCCTTGAACTCATAGCAATCCTCCTGCCTCAGCCTCCCCAGTGCTGCAATTACAGGCATGCACTACCATGCCCAGCAAAGATTGAAATGTCACATACAGAACATAAATAATTCAAAACTTTGGTAATTTATTTATATATAATCTTGGCATATGAAAGGATTTTCTAAGCAAGGCACATAATCTCAAAAGTCTTAAATGAAGAGAAAATAAATTGGAACATATAAAACCATAAAAAATTGCATTATATCTGGCAAATTAAAAAATCATTAATATATACCGCCTCATATAATTCAACAAACAAGCCAGGTGTGGTGGTGCATGCCTATAATTCCAGCACTCGGGAGGCTGAGGCAGGAGGATCGTTGAGAGTTCAAGGCTAGGCTTGGTTACAAAGTGAGCTCAACCATTTTTGTCTCAAAAAGACAAAAAAATAAAAAATTGGGTTACTGCTTCTAAAAACAATATCTCTATACAGTGAAATATTACCTGGCAATAATACTCAATATTATTTATAATAGTCAAAAAGTATAAGTAACACAATGCTGTTCAGCTGATGACTGGATAAACAAAATGTGATAGTACTTGTTATGGTTTATGTCTGGGTGTCCCCCCAAAGCCTCATGCGGCCATAAGCCTGATTGACTAGGGGTGTGAGAGCTGCACCCGCCCTGGGGTGCATAGTTTGCATGTGTAAGGGAGAGGAAAAGGGTGCTTGAGGCCATTCCTCCCCCATTCCGCCCTGGTGTGTATGCTGGTTGCTTAGCTGTATTCTGCCACCCTGAGCTGTAACTCTCTGCCATGTGCCACTCTGCCTTATAATCTGCCAAGTACGGACTGAAACCTCCACAAACTGTAAGTGAAATAAACCTTTCCTGCCTTAATTTTGGGTGTCAGGTATTTTGTCCCAGCAACGAGAGAAAAGTAACCAAGACAGTACTGTATATTCTTCGTAGACTAATTTTAGACTTGAAAAGGAATGAAAGTCTGACACACCTCGGAAACATTATGGTAATAAAAGAAATCAGCACGATTCCAACTTCATGGCATGTCCAGAATGGGGAAATCCAGAGAGAGTAAAAGATTAGTGTTTGCCTATAGCTGGGGGATGGGAATTGGGGGAAAATGAGTAGTGATTGCAAAGAGGAAGAGAAATTCCTTTTGGGGTCATGAAAATTCATTGTGGTAATGGTTGCATAACTCTGACACATTAAGATCATTGCTTTGTGCACTTTTAATGGGGAAATTGTCTTGTGTGCAAATTATGTCTCAAAGAGGTTGGTTTGCTTTAAAAGCTTATATAAACCAGTGAGGTATGCTGGGTTTCCTCATCAAATTACGTCCTAGGCACTTTCCCATCACAGGGACAAAATAGGCAACATTCACAGCTTAAAGGAGGTAGGTTTACTGTGACTGGTGGCTTAAGCCTTGGCACCACAGCAGAATCAGCATGGCAGAGGGGACTGGCACAGGAAAAAGGGTTCAACCCAAGGTAGCCAGGAAACAGAGACAGGAAGAGCTGGGGACGAGAATATACCCTCTGAGGCCATGCCCCTGGGGACCTGCCTCCAACCAGCCCACCTCCAAATAGCACATCCAGCTACTGAACTCAGCAGTGGGTGAATTCGGTGCCACTGGGATCCAGTCACCTTCCACGTACATGAGAAATTTGGAGGACAATTTAGAGCTAAACGGTAAGACCTTGCAAAGCTAAAAATTGTTAAGGGTATAGAGTACAGCTGTTTTCATGTTCTTGGTGGGAGTGCAAATTGGTACACTTTTTTAAAAGACAATTTAGTTCATACTTTTTCAAATTTAAATGCATCTTATCCTTTGATTCTTCAATTTAAAATCATCATATGGATATACTTGCAAAAATTTACCAAGGTGCATACAATAGTATATTGTTCATAATAGGAAAATCTGAAAATGTAGAAATAGAAATTAGGGAAACATTATATACCCTTTATAAATATTATAAATTTAGGATGTAGCTCAATGGTAGAGCACGGGCTTATCCTGTGTTAGGATATGTGTTCAACCCCCCAGATCAAAAACTAAATTTATGAGGCTGGGTGTGGTGGCGCACACCTGTAATCCCAGCACTTGGGAGGCTGAGGCAGAACTATCATTGAGAGTTCCAGGCCAGCCTGGGCTACAAAGTGAGCTCAAGTTCAGCCTAACTTCATAGTGAGACCCTGTCTCAAAAAGATAAATGAATAAATAAATAAATAAATTTATGGATATGCAGTATGTATAAGTAATAGTTATATGGGCCGATATGAAAAAATCTCCAAGAAAAAAATAAAACAACTCGTATTTATGAAGAATTTGCTATGGGCCAGTCACACTTCTAAGTACCCTACTGACAATAACTCTCTTAATCATCATTGCAATCTTATATTTTTAATAATGTTTTTACTTCCATTTTACAGGTGATGATCCTGAGACACACAAGTCAGCTTAAGTAAATTTCTCTCAACCACAGAGACAGTATTCAAGTCCATTTGATTACATCTTAAAAGTATAAATTTACATAAATACGGCTGCACAGTTACCTTCTCTTTCTAGAAGCACACATAAGGAAATGTTGGAGAAAGTGGGATTGAAAGAGAGATTGCATGCTTCCGTTTACTAGAAGGCAAACTGACATGGACTGCAGAATGAGGTAGGACTGTGGGCGATGGGGAGGGAGTTGGTATTTAATTTGTGTTGTATGACTGCGTTTTCCATTACCACAATGAATCACATGAGGCAGTTCACTTATAAAGAGAGAAGGTCATTTTGGCTCATGACTGTGGAGATTCCAGTTCAAGGACAGGTGGGCCCATTGCTTTGGGCCTCTGGGCAATGGGCCTTTGTGCCAGCAGGCAGTGACAGAGAGCACACTGCACAGCAAACCACTCAGGTCCTGAGCCAGAAACAGAGAAAAGAGGAAAAAGAAGAGACTGGGGTCCCCCAGATCTTTGCAGGGGCATGAGCTCAATGACCAGAAGACCTTCTGCAAGGCCCCGTTCTCTAAAGGTTCCACTACCTCCCAGTGGCACCACCCTAGAGACCAATCCTCTGGAGGCCATGTGAGAACCAAACTATGCCATGTGTTCTACAGTTTTATATCTCCTTCACTTATCTGAAGCAGATTACTGACTGAATCCATAATCCAATCAAACACAGGCAGGAGTTGGCTGACATTCTTCATTATGGAAAAATCAGAGGTCAAAATTGAATGCCTATTCCATCTTTATTTGGTCTTTTCTTTAAATGAAATAGGCAAGTGCCAGATCTAATTTGCCCTTCTCGGAGTATCTTTTTTTAAATGTCTAAACTATGCCTGAACTACTCATACCTGGTTCCCTGTCCCATCTAGCTGGAAACACCATGGGTGACGTTCACTATGCACTGACCTCTTCCCTGCACATAAGCTGTTTACTTTAGGGAAAAAGACTTTACGCTTAGATCGAGATTCAAGCCTTCTCTGACCCAGCTCAAAGCTTTCTTTCTAATATCATCTCCCACAACTTCACCCTTCATACCAGCATTCCTGCCTGCTGAGCAAGATTATGCTTATCCCCAAATCAGCCGCCCCCTTCCTCTTTGCTATGGTCTGGATGTCTTATGTCCCCATAAGGCTCCTAGGTGCTGATGGGCCTCAGGGAAGTAATCGGATCAGGAGGGCTTTGACTTCATTAGTTGATGAAATTTGATCACAATTTGAGGGCATTATTGGGAAGGGGGGAACAGGAGACAGGGCTTAATTGATTGGGATGTTTATGAGGGTCTGGCCTTAGATTCTATACCTGGCTCCCCCACCTGCTTCCTCTCTGGCTCTTTCCCTCTCTCTGCTTCCTGGCTGCTAGGAGGTGAGCAGCTTCCCTCTACCGTACCCTTCCGCTCTCTGTTCCTGCCTCGCCCGCTGCCCATGGACTGGAACCATCAGCCCACTTCAATCTGTTCTCCTTTGAGTTGATATTGGCAGGTATTTTAGCCACATGCTAGAGGGCTAACGCATTCTCTGCCCTACTCTATCACAGTCTCACTTCAAGGTCTAACTTCAATACAACACGCAACTGGCCACCAATTATGCACTTAGGCATATTAAATATGCAGTTATATATATTGAATGTCTCCCTGAGGCCATGCTTTGAAGATTAAGTTACCAGCCCGCCTGTGGTGCTATTAGAAGGCAATGGAACCTCTGGGAGGTGCAGCCCAGTGGGAAGAAATTAGCTGAGTGTGTGCCTTTGAGCAGATATTGGGGCCCTAACCCCGTCCTGATCAACATGATGGGAACAGGTTTGCTCCATACCCATCATGACATTCTGCCTCACCATAGCCCAGCAATGGGACCAAGAGCCAATGTCTGAAGTTATGATCCAAAACCAATTCTTCCTCCCATGGGTTGTTTATCCCAGGTATTTTGTCACAATGACATCAGCAAAGCTGACCAATGTACCGCCCCAACCTACAGAAGTACTTACTATCGCAACCTTTTCTCTATAAGCTCACCTAGGAATTCATGGCTCTATGGTTTACTTCATAATAGAAGAAATGGCAACCTCTCCACAAAGGCTCAGGACTTCATCTTCTCTCAACTGACCAATCTGTGTATTTCTCTCTCTGTGTCCCCTGTATCTTTAATTTCTCACTGTGCATGGCCCCTTCCCATTTCCATTTTAAACTTTTTGAAAATCTGTAACTATCAAGGAAGCAGCAAGTGAAAGTATCTGGCCCCGCTAACTTCTGGGGAAGGAAATAAGAGAAAGAATACCATGGCAGTCGTGAAGAACAGTGTGGATGCTCCTCAGAAAACTGAAAGGTAGATCAACCATATGCTCCAGCCATTCCACTTCTGAGTCCATATTCAAAGGAAGTAAAATCAGCAGACCAGAGATCCCTGCAGGTCCATGCTGATTTTGCTACTATTTGTATTAGTTAAGAATCAAGCTATGCCCCCACCAAAGGATTAATGGATAAAGAAAATGTGGTACATATAACAATGGAAGATTCTCAGCCATCAGGAAAAGTGAAATTGTCATTTGCTGCCAAACAGGTGGAACTGAAGGACATTATACAAAGTACAATAAACAAGATGCAGCAAGACATATGCCACAGGTTCTTTCTCATATCTAAAGAGTTGACTTGGATATAGATGAGCGATTACTAGAGGGTGGGAAGGGTGCAGGGGTGGTGAGGGATGTGCCGATAATGGCTACTCATTAGAAAGAAGTTCTGGTGTTCCACAGGGCAATGGGATGACTGTAGCTGTCAATAACCTATTATATAATTTATAAAGATCAAGAGATCAAAAGCTCCAAACATAAAGAAACCAGTAGGATAAGGAAATGCTAACCATCTTGATTTGATCAGCACAATCTGTGTGCATATATTAAAATATCACAGTGAACCCCATTAACATGTATAACTAGTATATGTTAATCAACATAAAGTATATGTAAATTATGTAAATATTTGTCATATATGTAAATTATATATAATTGTATATAAATACATTATATATAATATATACAATATATAGTATTTACATGTAAGAGTATATATTTAAGGAGAATACAAAAACTACATAGTTATATAAAAATAATATATATAATATGTTAAAACATATTGTGGCTATGATTTATGGGCCTGCATTAAGCTTCAATCATCAGGAAATCAAGCAGTGGCCTGGTGTGGGAAAGGAGGTAAATTTTGTGTGTGTGTATTTGTGTTTTATGTAAATTTTATTTCTGGAGACTGAACTTTTAATTTTATATAATTTTTCACATTGTGACATATTCTTCTGAATTCTTTAAATTCTTCCTATGTCTCAAGTTTTGATAAACCTATGTTCATATACAAATGCCCAGGGATAGGTAGCAATCATTTCATTCTACTAAACTGTTACATAGTGAATACTTTCTATCTAAACCCAGTAATATATTTTATTGATATTTTGAAGTAGCCTGATTCATTATGATACATATATTATGATGCATAATACCATTTGTGCTGTTCATTTTTACTGTTTGAAATATTTCTTTTTTGGTTTGCTTTTATGTTTGTTTACTTATTTTTATTAGTATGTGTTTGTAGTATTACATGTGGGGAATTTGTACACGTACAAAGCACATCTTAATTTTTCTGTCCCCTTCCTGCCATCCCTCGCGGCTCCCCCTAACTCTTATTCCCCTTCCCACTTGCAAAAGCTTGATTTCCACTTTTTCTTCAGTTGTCTCTTTTTTAAAAAAATCCTGTTGTCCTTCCTTTTCTCCTCCTTCCCTCCATCAAGAGATATAACTCCCTGTTTCCTGTTATCTTTTATTTTGCTTTTTATATTTCTCTCATATAAGAGAAACTATGTGATATTTAAACTTATGTGTCTGATTTATTTCATTTAACATAATCGAGGTCCATCTATTTACCTACAAATGCCTCAAATTTTATTCATCATTATGGCAGAGTAGCACTCCATTGTGTAAATACCACATTTTCTTTATCCATTCATCTGTTGAGGGACATTTAAGCCACTTCCAAGGTTTAGTTATTATAAATTGTATTGCTATAAACATGAATATCCATGTATCACTTAATATGATGTCTGTAACTCTTTTGGAAAGATACTTAGAAGCAGAATAGCTGGGTTGAATGGAATTTCTAGATTGTTTTTTGAGGAATGTGGAAAGGAGGTGAATTATAACAAGAATTTTGGAAAAGAGTTTGACATTAAAGAGTTGAAAATTAATATCTCCTACGACCCAACAATTCTGCTCCTAAATGTACATCCTATAGAATTTTAAAAATATGTACACTGAGAGATATGTACAAGAATGTTCATAACAGCATATTTATCAGAGGTCAAAACTGCTAACAACTCAAATTACTAATTAAGAATAGAACAAGTGAATAAAAATCATTGTATTGTGATTTACATAAATGTCTTATGGTGCATGTGGAATGCTCAATAGTATGCTGTACAGTACAATATTATTGATACAATATATATATACAATATTGAGCACAATAGAATATTATTGAATGGTAAAAATGACATCATGGGTGAATCACATCAACATTTGAGAAGGAAAAGCAGACCCTGAACTGAGCATGGTGGAACATGCTTGTGATCCCCGCACTTTGGAGGCTGAGGCAGAGGATTGCCATGAGTTCAAGGCCAGCCTGGGCTACATAGTGAGTTCAAGGCCAGCCTGAACTACATAGAGAAATGCTGTCTCAAAAAAACAAAACAAACAAACGAACAAAAAAGCAACCTTTGACACTCAGGAGCTGCTCTGGCATAGTCAGATGACCACTCACAACTGGACATTGCTATTCTCTCAAATGTGCATAATTTTATGTAACAATATCAGATAAAACCACTCTGTTGTCTGTAATAGAAAAAGACAAAAGTAAGACTACACTATAATCACATCTAACCACAGATAAAATACAGACAGTGCCCAGACCATAAAATGACCAAACGCCCTTACCCTAGCTAATATGAGTGACTGTTGCTTCTTTCCCAGTTATGAGTCTTGCCTCAGCCTAACCTTCCTTATTCTGGGAAAGATTTAGGCTGACACTCAATCTATGAATTACCTCCACTTCTTGACAATAGCCAATGCAGAGCAAATCTCTGCTTCCTTAAACTCTCCCTTAAGTCACTTAACAGAAGCCCAGTTCTTGTAAGAAGTCCTAATGCCTTAACAGAGATGCTCCTGCATACCTGTGCTGTGTGGTCTCTTCACTTGCACAGGCAATAAACACAACCTGTTCAACTGCAGGAGTGTTCTTGTTGGACTGGAGCATGACTGCTGACATAGTAAATTGACTAAAAGAAGCAAATCCTCCCCCTGCCCAAATTTAAACTTCTATTGAAATAAAGCCAATAAAGTAATGTTAATAAAATTGTGTAGAGATGCATTTCCACCTAAGTGACAGAACTACAAAAATAAAAGCAAGGAAATGATTAGGACAAATGCTGGCACAGTGTGAGTTCTAAGGGGACAAAAGGGATGGGATGGTTTCGTCCAGACCTAATGAGACGTGAGCATCGGTAAAGAACACCCAGGGAAGAGGGCACAGGGGAAACCAGCTCAAGCCTAGTGGCCTCTGCAGGTGTGCTCTTCTCCTGTTGTGTCTGGGGAAAGGGTTCAAGTATTGCCCCCATGAGGGGAAATGCATTCAAGAATATGTCTGGGAATAAGCAGTCAGCATAGACATAGCTTACTTTACTTGAAGGTGAGTAAGGAGCACAAAACATTGCAACCCAGGGACAATGGATGCCCCAGAGGAGAAAGAACACAACTTCCAGAGGGCTGTAGTGGAGAACCTACCATAGCAATTGATCTGCTGTAGGATATAGATGAAAATGCCAGGAAACTGGTAGTTTAAATAGGCACAACATTGGAGGTTTTTTTAAAGGAAGGATTATGGGTTATTAAAGAAGGAAATAAAATGAGAAGGCATTAAGATGAAATGAAAACGCACAATTCCATTTAGAAACAACAGAAATTTATTTCTGGTAGTTCTGGACACTGGGCAATCCAAGACCAAGTTTTCGGTGAGATGGTATGAGAATGTCCAATAAGAAAGGTGCTGGACTCTGGTGCAGCAGAGACTAGCTGCTGTAGGCTGAAATTATTTCTTTTCTTACTTTTTTGTATCTTGATATTTTACTTTAAAAAGTTTGTATACTTTCTGGTTCCATTTATATACATATCTAGAGCAGCCAGATTATGTTTAAATGCCCAGATATTTATCGGTTATGCAATGAAAGATGGTAAAATGGAACAAATGCACAAAAGGAGACCTGGGGGTGTTAGTCATTTCTTTTCTTAGCTGGATAACAAATGCAGGAGGTCCACAGTCTATAAAATTTACAGGACCCAACCGGGTGACATGTGTACTTTTGAATGCATTTACACTTCAAAAATAAGTTCCTACTCAAAGTAGAAAAATAATTTTAAATAACCTCAAAAGTGAGGAGGAGATGCTAGGAGTATTTTCTTTTGAATGCATCCTGTTTTTCTCTCCAAATTTAACTTGAATGTATTTCCTTCTGCTAATCTAAACAGCCCCCAGCTTCACCTGTCCAGCAGGCCCTTGGCAGAATTGTGCAAGCTTACAGACTTACTGGCAATCCCCATAGATAGCTGCAAGCCGTCCTTTCTCTGAGCTACAGAAGCGTCCTCTTCAGAGGGCTCCAGGGTAAGGATTAAGCACTATAAATTATAGAAATGGTTGGCTCTGGGGTAACTCTGAGGGGTAAAAGAAGAAGCCAGCTCTCTGTGGGTGAAGCTTATCCCCTGGTCCTCCACAGATCTGAGAAAGAGTGTCTCTAGTTGGGCTTTACAGAAGCAGATGCTAGGGGGCTGGGGATTTAGCTCAGTGGCAAAAGCGCCTGCCTGGCAAGCGTAAGGTCGTGAGTTCGGTTTCCGGTACCAGAGAAAAACAAAACAAAAAAAAAAAAAGAAGCAGATGCTGAAATAGAGTTGAGGGTGCAAAATTGCTAGGGTTATCCTTTTGAAAGGATACAGAATAAGGGTTGAGGAGAAAACTGAATGGGATAGAGAAAGAATTTAAACTTCAAAGGAGGCCCAAGAAAGCCTCAGTCACTTGGGTAGAAAGGGCTGCAGCAAGCATTTCCTATCAATTTAATAATAAGTTGTCCCAGCAATGTCTTTCTAGCTCATAAAAGGAAAAATGAATCTCAGGAAGCACAAGGGTCAATATAAATATACTGGGGTGCAGGAGGCTCACACCATCAGACCTGTAATTAAAGATGACTGTCTCATTCATTTCTCTATACTCAAAATATCTTCAGATGAATGAAAATTTCAAATAAGTAGCAGGGTACAAAGCAAATAAAAACATCTAAGCTGTTCTTCTGGGAGAAGACCATCATTATATATTGATCCGTGCATCCTGATTAGCTAATTAGAAACAGGTTTGGAACTGGGGATGGAATTTGGAAATACTTCTGGTTTCAGAAAGCCTAACTGGTGCCAGTTAGCTCAGCTAAGTAATTGTGGATTCTGTGATATTTGGACCCATGACAGTTGCCGGGAGTGGGTTATCAGCACAGGTAGGTATACTGACTACAAAAAGTAGTGAGTGTCCCTGAGATTTGTGATGAGAGAAAACCATGTAGACAGCTACACAGAGCACTTAAGAAATGAATGAGGGGAGAGGACTAGGAAGTGAATCAGGTGAGAAAGAGACTGACAAGGAAAACTAGGAGTTAGCAAATGAGAGGCCAGCACTGAGTATTGTGAGACGAGTATGTTCCTCTTTGACGCTGTCCTAAACTTTCTTTGGAGTTGTCCTATCACCAAAGACAGCTGAGTGCACTTTCAAAGAGCACGTAAGAGAGCAGCAGAAAATATATAAATTGCTCAATTCGGTCACTCGTTCCTCCTCTTGCTAATTTTCTTTTGTCTTCTTTGATTCCAAGATGGCTGCGAGAAGTAATCTTGGGGACATGGTACCTATCATATTGCAGCTGACCAGACACAGCACAAACTTCTACATAGGGTGACCACTGTGTGTGTAGCACAAGTCTCCTGGCTTGGTATGACTTCCTGTGCCAAGGGAGTATCTCCGGATCCTGTCTAGCAGTGTGCTATGAGAACTACTTCACCAGACCTGGTGAAGGAGTTTGCCTTATGACTGGCTGTGCTTTTTCTCCATATTTTTTTTGTGATGGAGTTTCTTATCTCTCAGACTATGTGTAAGTAAACTAAGATGTTCCCGAAGCAATCCTTAGAAAGAGAGCTCAGCCTCCCTACTAAAAATGAAGATGCAAGAGGGAGGAAGAAGTGATTCTTGACTTGGCCCAAGGAAAGCCCCTGTTGGCAATCTTATCTACTCTTATCTACTTCCTGGTACAGTTGTCAGTATAGATGATCTTCTTGGTCATCTTTTTTCACTAACAATACTACTGGCTACAAAACATACTTGGTGCAGAACCACCTTGTGTTGAAGGCCTTATTCATGCCGACACAGAAAAAGACTATGTGCATGGTATGTCTGGCTACTCTCTCCATGGTTATCTTGATTTTCTGCATTACATTCTTCCAGCTCACCATTTTGAAATACATTCTCAGGACTGTAACTGACTGAGAGACACAGGGGCCTAGAAAACCCTAACAGTAGTCCTGATGATCACTACTGACATGTGGCATGAATATAAACTGGCCCAGAGTGGTCTCCTATTGAAGCAATATGCACATCTTTGTCCTTATGTACTGTTCCCTGGTGTTCTTATCTTGGAAAAATAAAACTGGGAAATGTGACATGCCTACTTTCTTCTCATATAAATAATCACTTTATTTCAGTTCGGAGGGTTCAGCCCATGCTTGGTTGGCTCTATAGGTTTGGTAGCAAGGAGGTACCTCATGGGAGAACATGAAAGAGGAAACTGCCCATTTCATGGCATCTGGGAAATGAAAAGAGCAATAGTTTATATTTTTATATGCTTCCATTTGTGTTCCTTTCCTTTTTTGACTAAGAAATATTAAAGTAGTACATTACTATATTCAACCACTATGAATAAGTATCAGAAGGTCTACTGACTATTAAAACCAAAAGCAAGCCACTCCAAAGGCAAATATTGACATTCTTTTTCATGCACTCATCTTTCAAGTTCTTGATCTTATCTGTAGTTAAAAGCACCAGTAGCTCCAGTAGCCATATTAACGACTTATCATTTACTTAGGGCATTAGCCCCTACCGGCGAAGTAACTTCTGAAAGGAAGGAAGATAGAAGCCACGCTCATTTTTTGTGTAATTTTTTAATATTAAAGCTATCTAACATGGGGTTCTCAGTTTCATCTAGTCTAACTCCTTGCCTTATAGTATTAGACACAGTTTTCTTCATTTTCCCTTAAAGAAGACATAATAGGAAGAAGTGCAGATTTGGAAGATCAGATATTGTCCCAGAATTTCCCAACACAGGAAATACCATAGTCTAAAGGTGTGCTTTAGGGAAAGAATGCTAGAAGAATGTCATGGATCCCAACAAGAGACTGAAAAAGTTTTTGAAGACTTCCAAACTTCTACAAAGGGGACAATCTGAGACTGAAAGTCTACCACTCTATGGCTATTATCTAGATGTCCCCCACCCCAAAGACTCATGCACTCATAGGTGGGGTTTTCAGGAGGCGGTTGGATCATAGGTGTGTGAATATGGATTATGGGAGTGTTCTAACTGCATTAGTCCACCAAACCAATAGGCTTATAGAGTGGATGAAGTGTAAAGAAGTAAGCAAACTGCTGCTGCCTCCTGCCTGCTCTCCCATGGGCTGTTTCTCCTCCGCCATGCGGCCCTGCCTTGGAGCCAGCTGACTGTGGACTCAAACTGCTACAAACAGTGACCTAAAATAAACATTTTCTCCTTTAATGTGGGTGTTGGGAATTTTGTCCCAGCAATGAGAAAATGACTAAGACAACCATCAAGGAAATTACCAATTGTGGAAGACAATTTGTGGAGTTAGAAATAGTCTTTTAAAAAGACATTTGTTGCTTGGTGTGGTGGTGCAAGCTTATAATTCCAGACTTTGGGAGGCAGACACAAGAGGATTGTTGCAAGTTCGAGACCAGGCTGGGCTACATAGTGAGGCCAGACCAGCCTGAACTTCATAATGAGGCCCTGCCTTAAAAAAAAAAAAAAAAAAAATGACGAATGGATAATACATACATGAAAAATGTTCAATACTTGGCCATTTGAGAAATGCAAATTAAAACAAGAGTGAGATTCCATCTTATCCCAGAAAGAGTGGCCATCATAAAGAATCAAATAATAACAAATGTTGGTGCTAGGATTATGGCCATGTGCCAACTTACCCCATTTGGTTTTCATTATTTTTGCTTCTTTTTTTTTAGACAGGGTCTCACTATGTAGTTCAGTTTGGCTTTTTTTTTTTTGTCTTTCTGAGACAGGGTCTCGCTATGCAGTTCAGGTTGGCCTTGCGCTCACTTTGTAGCACAGGCTGGTCTTGAACTCACAATGATCCTCCTGCCTCAGCCTCCTGAGTGCTGGGATTACAGGCATGTACCACCATGCCCAGCTTCCAGTTTGGCCTTAAACTCATTATATAGCCCAACCTTGAATGATCCTCCTTCTTCCACCTTCCCAGTGGTAGGATTACAGGCATGTGCCACCATATTCAGCTAATGCTTTTGTCTTTTTTCCCCTTGTTTAAGAAATGTTCCTCATATGGCCATTCTATAGTCTTTATATTCTGCCTCTCACCAGAAGCCTGCCCTGTAGAATGGACTGTGTATGGTGTGGAGTAGGGATTCTGTGGATTTCCACCTGAAAATTCACATTTACTTTGTCATAAATTGAAGCTCCCAGCATGCAGGAAAAAAAATGTTGGTGAGGCTACAAGAAAAAAGCAACCCTTCTATGTTGGTGGTGGGAATATAAACTAGTATAATCACTATAGAAATCATGATAGAGATAAAAATAGCAATTCCCCTTGTAAATAACTTCCCCAAAGAGTTAAAGACATCATATTACAGTGACACGTGCATACCTGTATTTACAGCAGTACACGCATAATAGCTAAAACTTGGAAGCAGCATATATGTCCATCAACAGATGGATGGATGAATAAAATTGGTATTTATATACACTGGAGTACTACTCTGCTATAAAGAAGGATACATTTGAGTCATGTGTAAAAATGAATGCACCCTGAGACCATAATAGTAAGTGTACAAGCTTAAGTATCACATGGCTTCTCCTATACGGAAAAAAAAAAAAAACCTAAAGGATACAAAAAAAGTAAAATAAAAGACAACAGGAAACAGAGAGATCTTTTGCAAATGGGAAAAGGGACCAAGAGATGAAGAGAGAAGGCGGGCAACGAGGGGAAGGAAACTTAACAAGTCTGTGTGATGCACAACACCTTACGATGCGCCAACACTTTACAAGGAGTGTAATCATTATTTAATGCAAATAATTCGATCTTTTACTGAAAAAAAGACACTTCTCAGAAAGTCTGGGCCAAGGCCTTCCATTCTGCTTTTACATGGAATTTCATGCTAGATATATATAGATACAGATAAGGACATGGAGATAGAGATATATGCATTCCAACAGATATAAAGATACAGATCAAGATATAGATCTGAGACTAAGGTCACTAGCATGGAAAGAGTCATAGTCCACCTTGAACACATAGTCTTCATTCCAGCTGCTCCTCCCAAAGTTTGAGCAGCACATAGCACGGCTATCCTTATAATTTTATTCTAAATCACTTCTATCACTAGACTCTTCCCAGCCTAAGTGTCAGTAGCAATAAATTATGATACTGCATTAAACAATATCTCATTTTACAATGAAATACTATTAGGCCCTTAAAAAGCACAGGCAAGTCTTTAGGACTGACAAAGAGATGCTGGATATATGTGAAGTGAACAAAGAAGTTACAAAGCTGGAAAGAGAGGCAAATCCTAATTAGTGTGTATTCAAGGTAAAGAATAGGCAATTCAACTAAACATAGAAAAGAAATTCTAAGGGAATGTCTACCAAAATATGATTTTTTAACTTTTCCCTGGGGAAATTAAAATACTTACATTTATATGTAAGCTTTTTTTGGAAACTCACTTCCTTGCAAGTTCTGAGCTTGTCTTTGGGGCTCACTCTTCCTTCACACCACTCTCAGGCTCCCAGCTTCAGTCACTAGTACCCCCCATGCTGTGTTCAGTGTCACTGCCTTTACTCCTGCTGCCCCTTCTGCCTGGATCACCATCTTGGGAGCACTTTCTTATTCCATATCCTACCTGCCTGCTCTTCAAGGACAGCCCCGCTTAAATTCAAGGTCTCCTAGAAATCTTCCCCCATTGCCTGGCTACTCCAGCTTCTTCTTTTCCCAGCTTTTTAAATGCCTTCCAAGCATCTGAGTGCTAAGCACCCAGTGAAGAGATTTCAAATATTTCTATTACCCTATCTCCAGAGATTCTGAATCAGTAGGACTAGGGTGAGACCCCGAAGTCTACATTTCAAACAACACTTTCCAGTGAAGTTGAGGCTGTGGGTTGCAGGTCATTATTCTAGAGCTGTCTTAGTTACTTTTTTCTTGTTGCTGAGACAAAATACCCGACAGCCAAAGTTAAAAGGGGAAAGGTTTATTTAGCTCAGTTTGTAGAGGTTTCAGTCCATAATCAGCTGGCTACTGGGCAGAGTGGCACATGGCAGAGGGAGACAGTTCATGCCTACAGAAGACAGTAAAAGCAACAAGAGCAAAAGGGGAAACAAGCCTCTTTCTGTCCCTCATATTATATGCAGTCTACCAATCCGATCTGTGGACTGAGCTAGCAATCACCCACCCTTAATCTCAGCATCCTTAATTCCAGCATGGCACACTTGAAATTCAACCACCTCTGAAAAAGTCCTATGACTACACGAGGCTTTTGGGGGACATCTAGACCCAAACCTTAGTAAGAGGTCTAGAACTCAACAATTTAGGACTTATATGCTGTTGCTCCATGAAAAACATGTATCTTTTATGAGACTGTCAGCTCCTCAAGAGTAGGAATGATGTTGGACAGGTTTCTGTCTGCTTTGCAGTGCTAGAGCCAAGAGAAGTTCAAAGCAAATGTGTTAACTGGGGCTGCAAGTTTGCGCATTTCCTCAGGAGTTTAGACAAGGTAAAGATTATATAAGGGTTTGCAACAGTCTGTCCTGCTAATCCAGCTCCAGAAAACTTTTGGCTCTTGCTCTGAACATGAATATCTCTGCAACCCAGGATGTGACGGGATGACTTTGTGTAGACTGAGGAACAATGAACACTCCTGCTTCAGCAGGACAGTTCCTTTCTGGGCCATTCATGTTTTGAAAACACAATTTTATAGTGATTTTTCTTTCTTTGGCTTCCACACCATCCCCTAAATTGGTGGATTGAGGCTGGCTGATTCAACCCAAATAGAGCAGTTGAGATCTAGGTGAGGGTGCTAAATGTGAAATACAAGGCTGCACTTGACTGTTATCCTTATTTTGTTATTTTAAAGAGAAAAGGACAAAAACAAAATAATAAAAACAAAGACAAAAACAAAACAACATGAAAACTATAAAAATGATGCAGAGTTTCAAAACAAGATGATAAGAACTCAAGAATGGCGGTTGTATTACTTATTATTTTCAAAATAGTTGCTCAGATTACTAGATATAGGTATGTAAGATTGATAGATCCAATAATTAAACATTAACTGTTCCTTTCAATAAACCAATACAAATTAGTAGTACAATTATCTTAGCTAT